TAAGTTTCGGTCCACTTCATCCCAAAAGTATTATCTGATCATCACCGCAAATTATAGGCGTTGTCCTTGACCATAACCGGAACCTCATGGAAATTTTAAAATCGATCAGCGCTATATTTCCGCCCTACAGCTGGTAATGGGCTACTAAATAATATCTGAATATGTAAGCACCTGTAAATATTTAAGTGTAACTCTCATATCCGAGCACATACGACAATATAGTTGGTATCAATTTAAAGACCAACAAATCCTCTTGGATATACAATCAATTTCTCGGGTCTATGTCCTTCAGGAGTAAAGTATGGGTCCATTTGATGGGTCCATTAAACAAAAGTATGGTTTCATTTGACCCGCTAAATATTGGCCGATCTTTATCGGCCGCTGGAGCGACCAGAAAATCAGAAAAAAAATATTAACTTTTCTTTTTCAAAAAACAATTGGGGTCTTCATTGGCCAGAACCCATCCTATATGCAAAAGACGATTGGTCCATAACTGTGGCCTGTATCGTGTTTACAATTTATAATGGACAGACGGACGGACGGATACACATATCTAGATCGACTCAGCTAGACGATATATGTCTATCGGTATACTTAAAGGTGGGTCTAGGACCAATATTTCGCGGCGTTACAAACTTTTGGGGCTGCACAAAGCTATAATACCCTGACAACATAGTTGTGTAGGGTATAAATATTTAAAAAATCCACGCCTATGTTGGGCCTTCAAAAATATTGTTTACAAATTACACGCGTTATATGGATGGCTCTTGAAAAATATTGTTTAAAAAATATCCGTAAAAAATCCACGCCTATGTTGTAAAATGCATCACGCCGTAACTCAAAATCTTTACTTACGGCAAATTCTCCTCCATCAGTACATGTCTTATGTTGATAGTTTAAAAATGTGCACTTCTTATACAGCTTTATAATGGGTGATGAGTTCTAAAATTGGCTTATTTGACCTCTTTTTCAGCTGTATTTTTGTACGAAGCTGCAGTAACCCCTTTTTTACTTCGACCCTCTGTTTCTCACGTTAACGGTTTCTGTTTGAAGTATCAATTACAATCGCTCTATATTCCATAAAACATCAAACAAAATAATAGGTTGTAACCTATGGGTAATACGATACAAACATTTGTTGTTTTGTTGAGTCATCTGCAAAGAAAGTCAGACATACCAAAAAAACCTACGAAACTCTCACCAACACGGTTGGCATGGTGTATTGACAAATCGAGGTTCGTTATTACATTACATTTCCGCAACATGTTTTCAGGGTTGCTTAAGTTCGATGATGTTTCTATGTTTGATATAAACGATATAAGCACTGTGATCTCTCATTACTAAAAGGCTAAATCCTATAAAAGTTTATAAAACTGTATTCTTAATAATAGAGAATATTTCATACGGATCATAAAGCTAACACGCATTACAATTAAAAAAAAACAACTCAAAAAAGGGTATTCCTCAGTTGGAATGGCATTTGTTAGTTCACATCAAATTTGCTCGAAAAAAAAATATTTTTTTTTCAAAATAATATCGAAAATCTTCTTTTGTTATTTTTATTTTAAATATGCATTGATTAATGTTAGCATAATTAGTTTTGACTTTGAAAACTTCAGCTATAATAGCTTCTTGTGAATTGATCATCACATCATCATTGTTAGCTCATTAAAAACAAACCAGGCCATCGGGGTCAAAGCAAAGAGTAAACAAAACAAAAGTGATGAAACATTTCGTTTTTCAAGAAATGATTTTGAATTAAGGGAACCCCCCCCATTCTCGATTTTTTATTTTTAAGATTTTAAATGGGCTGGTAAATGAATACCAATGCTTGTTAAGGTGTGTAACTTTGCACATATATATTTGAAGATTTAAAAAGGAAGAAAAATAATTTACAAAAAAATTTTGTTGTTGTTTTGTTGTTGTTTTTTGTGATCAAAGAAAAGTCCTTATTTTTGATGGCGGGCATGATAACTCCTCACTGGAACATCGGAATCCGAAAATTCCAACGGTGTTAGAAAGAGTACATGTCTGGCTCTCGTATGAACTAGGATTATTGACCTCGCTCTAAAATTAACAAAATGGCGGACCTTTGAAAAAATATTTTTGAAAAATCACCGATTTTTTACCAAAAACCAAGTTAAAAAATAAGGAAGATCTTCACCGATTGGCTTTATCCTAGTTCATACGATAGCAGTACACTCACAGAGACACGTGTAAAAATTTGAAATCGATTGGGTTATTAGTTTTTGAGTTATCGTGCCCGCCATTCGCAAAAAAATGTTTAGAGAAAAACGCGTTTAAAGTTTGAGAAGCCCTTCAGCCGTCACTTGATGCTGACACAATAAATCGGCTATATCTTCAAGAGTTCTTGAGATTTTAACTTGAAATTTTGCAGGGACATTCTTGAATTAGTGTAGATTGGAATTAAGTCAACAAAAATTTTGACCGCGAGAATGGGGGGGTCCCCTTAATATTGCATTGCAAATCTTCCACTTTGGACAGAAAATCTCCTTACCAAAAATGGCCTAGGCGTGGATTTATTAAAAATAATTTTTTCCTAGTAGTCTTAGGCGTGGATTTATTAATAATAATTTTTTTCTAGTAGTCCCAGGTGTGGATTTATTAAAAATTTTTTCCAAGTAGTCCTAGGCCTGGATTTATTAAAAATAATTTTTTCCTAGTAGTCCTAGGCGTGGATTTATTAAAAATAATTTTTTCCTAGTAGTCCTAGACGAGGATTTATTAAAAATATTTTTTCCTAGTAGTCCTAGGCGTGGATTTATTAAAAATAATTTTTTCCTAGTAGTCCTAGGCGTGGATTTATTAAAAATAATTTTTTCCTAGTAGTTCTAGGCGTGGATTTATTAAAAATAATTTTTTCGTGTAGTCCCAGGCTTGGATTTATTAAAAATAATTTTTTCGTGTAGTCCCAGGCTTGGATTTATTAAAAATAATTTTTTTCTAGTAGTCCTTGGCGTATATTTATTAAAACTAATTTTTTCCTGTAGTCCCAGGCGTGGAGTTATTAAAAATAATTTTTTCTTTGTAGTCCCAGGCTTGGATTTATTAAAAATAATTTTTTCGTGGTAGTCCTAGGAGTGGATTTATTAAAAATAATTTTTTCCTAGTAGTCCCAAGTGTGGATTTATTAAAAATAATTTTTTCCTAGTAGCCCTAGGCGTGGATTTATTAAAAATATTTTTTTCCTAGTAGTCCCAGGCGTGGAGTTATTAAAAATAATTTTTTTTCCTGGCAGTTCCAGGCATGAATTTATTAAAAATAATTTTTTTTCTAGTAGTCTCAGGCGTGGATTTATCAAAAATAATTTTTTTCCTGGCAGTTCCAGGCATGAATTTATTAAAAATAATTTTTCCTAGTAGTCCTAGGCGTGGATTTATTAAAAATAATTTTTTCCTAGTAGTCCTAGGCGTGGATTTATTAAAAATAATTTTTTCCTAGTAGTCTAAGGCGTGGATTTATTAAAAATAATTTTTTCCTAGTAGTCTAAGGCGTGGATTTATTAAAAATAATTTTTTCCTAGTAGTCTAAGGCGTGGATTTATTAAAAATTTAAAAATTTCTAGTAGTCCCAGGTGTGGATTTATTAAAAATATTTTTTTCCTAGTAGTCCTAGGCGTGGATTTATTAAAAATAATTTTTTCTTGTAGTCCCAGGCATGGATTTATTAAAAATATTTTTTTCTAGTTGTCCCAGGCATGGATTTATTAAAAATAATTTTTTCTAGTAGTCCCAAGCTTGAATTTATTAAAAATATTTTTTTTTTTGAGGCTAAAAGAGTCGTGGATTTATTAAAAAGATTTTTTCTGAGGCTAAAAGAGGCGTGGATTTATTAAAAATAATTTTTTCCTAGTAGTCCTAGGCGTGGATTTATTAAAAATAATTTTTTCCTAGTAGTCCTAGGCGTGGATTTATTAAAAATAATTTTTTCCTAGTAGTCCTAGGCTTGGATTTATTAAAAATAATTTTTTTCTAGGAGTCCTAGGCGTGGATTTATTAAGAATAATTTCTTGTAGTGCCAGGCTTGTATTTATTAAAAAAAATTATTTTCTAGTAGTCCTTGGGGTATATTTATTAAAAATATTTTTCTCCTTGTAGTCCCAGGCTTGGATTTATTAAAAATATTTTTTTCCTGGCAGTCACAGGCGTGGATTTATTAAAAATAATTTTTTTTAGTAGTCCCAGGAGTGAACTTATTAAAAATATTTTTTTCTAAATAGTCCCAGGCATGGATTTATTGAAAATATTTTTTCCAGGCAGTCCCAGGCGTGGATTTATTAAAAATATTTTTTCTAGTAGTCCCAGGCGTGAACTTATTAAAAATATTTTTTCTAGTAGTCCCAGGCGTGAACTTATTAAAAATATTTTTTTCTTAATATTCCCAGGCATGGATTTAATGAAAATATTTTTTCCTGGCAGTTCCAGGCGTGGATTTATTAAAAATAATTTTTTCTAGTAGTCCCAGGTGTCGATTTATTAAAAATAATTGTTTCTTGTAGTCCCAGGCATGGATTTATTAAAAATATTTTTTTCTAGTAGTCCCAGGCTTTATTAAAAATATTTTTTCCAGGCAATCCCAGGCATAGATTTATTAAAAATAATTTTTTTCTAGGCAGTCCTACGAGTGAATTTATTAAATTTTTTCCAGGCAGCCCTACGAGTGAATTTATTAAAAATATTTTTTTCCTGGTAGTCCCAGGCTTGGATTTATCAAAAATAATTTTTTCCTTGTAGTCCCAGGCGTGGATTTATTACAAATTATTTTTTCCTAGTAGTCCTAGCAGTAAATTTATTAGAAATTATTTTTTCCACGTAGTCCTAGGCCTGGATTTATTAAAAATAATTTTTCTATAAGATAACCAACACATATAAAAATCCGATCGATTTACGATGTTTTGAAATGGTGAAGGTTATAAAAAGTTCCTTTCGGTCCGTAACTTAACATCTTTTTTTATTACTTTATCATTTTTTTTTTTCCACTCAAACCCTATTTTTTTCTCTTCCACTCACCTTCATATTTGGTTGCTGCAGCTGCAAGAATGTGGCTATTCCATTGCGCACACGATTCTTGACACCACGCACTGTGCCCTTGTTCGAGCGTATTGTTGAGGTGGCCGAGCCACAACGTAAATCCTTATAACCGGCAAAGACATCATCACTCAAACTGCTGCGGCTGTCATATTCCGATAACGATTCATTGCCAGATTCCGAAAAACCATTATTGGCCCCATTGCTGTTGTTGCCAAAACTGCGGAAATTTTCATGTTCATTAACATGGAAATTGTAGTATTTGTCAGCCTCATATTTTCGGGGCATCGAATTCATTTTCATGTCAATAAAGGTGCCATCCTCTTGATTGAGTACAAAGGTTTTGGAGGGCAACGAGGCACGTTTGGAAGAATTTGAATTCGCATTCGCTGCCGAATTTTCCGTATTACGTGTCTGAACATAGTCATTTTGTGCCATCATATAATCCTGGGAACTAATGGGTTCGTATGATGATTCATTGTTACGCTGTTTGTGGGCCTTGATTCTCTGTTCGATGTGATCTTCATCTTCTTCGTTTTCATTTTCGGCCTCATATTCGGTTTGATTTAATTTCAAATTTTTAATATCTCTTAGCAGGGAATCGGGTAAGAAAGAGCCGAGAATTTTCCTCGTGCCATTGGGAATTTTATTTTGTATGGGCGACTGTGAAGACTGGCGCATAAATTCATTGGAATGCAGCGAATCACAACTGAGCGATGATGCCTCACTTTCCTCGGAATCCGTGTAGGATGAAGAGTTACAGTTACGTTGCTCCTTGTTGCCACCGTTTTGGGATAGGCGAACTTTGGTGGTTTTCAAATGCATTTCCAGGCCATTGGAATTGGTTTTGGAATTGGATGAAGATGGTGGTAGCAGCAAATGGGCAGTGGGTGTGTGCGGAGTGTGATTTTGTGATTCCAAATCACTGCCCGTGCCACTGTCCAGTGTGTCACAGGGTGAAAATTGTCCACTCGACATGGTGGTGTAATACAGATAGCTGGGATTGCTGACATTTAATTCGTTGTTGGAGGCCATGGTCGAAATGGTGTGGCTACTGGAGGCGGCCCCATTGCTGTTGCTGCTTACCATCACCTGGCTGTTGTTTTGTGATTTTTGTACCATTTTCTCTAAATTCAAATGTAATTCACTTTTCAATGATTTTCCAAAATTTTCTTGATTTTCCTTTTCGTTAGCTTTTTTGTTTTCAATTTTTATTTCTTTTGTTGTTGCTGTTGTTTCTTGTTCTTTTGTGTTTTCAATAATTTCACTTGTATACACTTCACTTTCTTTATGCTGATTTTCCAAATTTTCTTCTTCTTCGTTTTCAATTTTCACAATGGAAATTTGTTTTTCCGCGTTATGGGGAGGGGAATGGATTTTCTTATTGGGGGAATTTATTTGGATTTTCACAACATGTGCGGCGGCAGGGTTTTCACGATTTTCACGTTCACCCAAATCTTGAGTATTTTTCTCTTTTTTCCAATATAGATTTTCACCAATAATCACCGATGTTGTTTTTGCTGTCGTTTGCTTAGAGGAGAGCTGTGGAGTTGTGGCCGTATCCGCTTTCGTAAAAAGACTGTTAGAGTTTTCTTTGGCCGGCCAGCGTTTACCACCATCATGATGACTAGCAGCAATATAGTCTAAGCAGCTATCTCCTCTCTTACCAATACCAGCAGCGTCAAATTTCAAACCACCACAATCATCATCATCATCATTATGATGATTATTTTCTTTATGATCATCATGATGATGATGATCGTCATCATCATGATTATGTTTGGAGTTGTTTGACTCATCATCATCATTGCCTTGGTTTTCTTGGCCATTCAACGACTGGTTGTGGTAGTTGGTCTGGTTTAAGCTGCAATGGCCATTATTATGGTTTTCTTTGTTACCATTAACCTGTTGACTAGTTAGTTGTTGTTGTTGGAGTGGCTCTTGGTGTATGGTGGTGGTAGTGGTAGTGGTCGTAATGGCCATTTGGTTACTTTCATTGAAGTTATTGCTCCTCTGCTGGCTACTCTCTTTGCCAACTTCAATGCAACTCTCTCTTAAAACATGATCATTATTAGATTGCTCTCTCGTTTTTCCAATACCGTTAGATTCCAATAAATTTTCTTGCCTGGAAGATAATGGAAGATCAACGGCTGCCATGGATGGTGGTGTTGTGCACTTAACTTGGATAACAGCAGACGAAGATGTCGATGAGGTTGGAACATGGAACGAGGATGCAGCACAATCACCACCATTGATTGTTGTGGAGCTGGTTGTTGTTGTCTGTTTACGGTTAATATCAATTAGTAATTTATTATCATTCTGGCCATTCAATGGTGTGGAGGAAGACGACGACGAAGAGGAGGACTTCAAATTATTGTCACTGGTTTGACAAGAATGTTGTATTTTAATGACATTTGAGACCAAGGCGGCAGAGGCTGGTCCAGAATAATTGGGTATTATAATTCCCGTTGTTGTTGTCGGACTAGCGGTTTGATCAATTTTTATTGAAATACCCTGAACCGGGCTGGAGGTAGTAGTCTGGTCCATGCAATTGATAATGGTTTTGGTGGCCATGTTTTTTGGGGAATATTTGTATTTTTTTGCTCTACTTAAAAAAAAAAAAATTCTTATTTGGTTTTAAATTTCAACAACTTATTCCCTTTTATTGTTCTTCTTCTCGGTTTTTTTTATTTTGTTTGGTTGTCTATGTTGCCTTGCAGCCAAGTGTAACCATAGGTGTTAGCTGGGCTCTATTACCTTAGTCTCGTGGTTTGCGTTTTTTTTTCTATTTTTCCTTTTGTCTTTGAAATTCAAACCAATGCGGAAGTTTTCAATTTACTTGCTTTTGTTTATGTTTTTTTTTTTGTTCGCTTTTTCTTCTTGGCAACACTTTTCTAAGTCTGCATTTCTCTTGTTTTCATTTCATTTGTTTGCAATTTAACTTTTGCATTTTCCACCTCTTTCTCTTTGTTTCTTTACGTTTGACTTAGTAAACTGTTTTCCGCCTTTTCCAAACAGAGTTTTTAAAGGGAATTCTGGAAAGAAAGGAAAAAAATAAATTAAAATCGTGATATAAATTAAAACAATTATATGCTAAGGACCCCACATTGGGCGCCACATATTTTAGAACAAGTAAAAATGAAGTTAAATTTATGAGGAATACTTTTTAAACCTCACAAGGCCCAGACAAGGCGTGGATTTTTAAATAAATATGTTTTCCAAGGTCCACAAAAGGCGTGGATTTTTAAATAAATTTCTTTTCAAGGTCCACACAAGGCGTAGATTTTTAAATAAATTTCTTTTCAAGGCCCACACAAGGCGTGGATTTTTAAATAAATTTCTTTTCAAGCTCCACACAAGGCGTGGATTTTTAAATAAATTTCTTTTCAAGCTCCACACAAGGCGTGGATTTTTAAATAAATTTCTTTTCAAGCTCCACACAAGGCGTGGATTTTTAAATAAATTTCTTTTCAAGCTCCACACAAGGCGTGGATTTTTAAATAAATTTCTTTTCAAGCTCCACACAAGGCGTGGATTTTTAAATAAATTTCTTTTCAAGCTCCACACAAGGCGTGGATTTTTAAATAAATTTCTTTTCAAGCTCCACACAAGGCGTGGATTTTTAAATAAATTTCTTTTCAAGGTCCACACGTGCTATATCTGATCATGGTATGTTTTTGAATGAACGATTTGCCACCCATTGTGTACCAAATATCTATATCTGCAGAAAATTCGATTGGAACATATGTCCGAAATCCTCAAAAATCAAAAATTGGGGATACCGTTATATGGAGATTGAACAAAAACTTGGGCCGTAGAATGATTTAGGATTCAAGACAGAGGGTTAGGACCACTATAGGTACACAAATAGCCTACCTAAGGTACCTGATTCCATGTCTATACCCTTCACCACTCTGTGGTACAGGACAGCAACGTACACAGGATTCCATTTCGGGAGTGGCCGGTTGTACAAACGGTTGTACGTCCATGGTACAGGGTATTATGTCTTTGAGCATATGTTTGTAAGAAGCAATAGGAATCGAGATAGGTCCATGCTTCCTTCTGAGAATATGCATAGAATCACTTTCTGAGTCGATTTACGCATGTCGGTCTGTCCGTCCGTCCATGCATTTTTGTTAACAAAGTACAAGTCGCATTTATGATCCGATTTGGATGAAATTTGACACAGTTCACTTATTTGGCCCAAGGACGAATCCATTGAAAATCGGTTGAGATTTATATATAGTTTCGTCCGATTTTATATGAATGATACACCAAACTCCCAATATGTGTCTGATTGAGATAAAATTTTGCACAGAGTACTGAATTAGGTCCAGACAGATGTCTGCGGAGTTTTGTTAAAATTGGTTCAGATTTATATATAGCTCCCATATATAGTTTCTTCCGATTTTTTGTGAATGATACACCAAACTTCCAATATGTGTCCGATTGAGACAAAATTTTGCACAGCGTACTGAATTAGGGCCATACTTATGTATGCAAAGTGTTGTTGGAATCGGTTCAAATTTAGATATAGCTGCCATATATATGCATGGTCCTCCTATGATTCTATGTCTGTTCTATCCCGATTTCGTCCGATTTTATATTAATGATGCTCTCGATATTTGTCCTATTGAGACAAAATTTTGCACAGGTCTAGAAAGATGTCTACGAAGTTTTGTTAAAATCGGTTCCGATTTATATATAGCTCCCATATATAGTTTCGTCCGATTTTATGTGAATAATGCACCAAACTTCCAATATTTGTCCGATTGAGACAAAATTTTGCACAGAGTACTGTCGTAGGTCCAGATTGATGACTGCGAAGTGTTGTTAAAATCGGTTCAAATTCAGATATAGTGACGCACCAAACTCCCAATATTTGTCCGATTGAGCAATGCAATTGAGGAAAAAATGATGTGTGATAAGGTTTGTTGAAATCGGTTCAGATTTTGATATAGGTCTTATATATTTTTTCGTTCGATTTTATGTAAATGGTGCACCGAAGGGCCTATGTTTGTTCGATTTACACGAAATTTGGCAGAGGGTATTAAATTGAATATAGAATGATAAAAAAAGCAAATGGTGTATGCAAAGGTTGCTCAATTAGGTCCATGTGTTTATATATAACTCCCATACATAGCTCCCATTGATAGCACATTTAATTTCGCCCGATTGCTTTAATGATTCTATGTCTGTTCTATCTACATGATATTGTAGATATTAACATCTCTTGTATGTGCCCAACGTGGTGAAGGGTATCATATAGTTGGCCTCGTCCGACGTTTGAACTTTCCTTACAGGTTTTTTTTTTTTATTAAATTACTTATTGACTTATTAATTTTCGCTATTTTTGTATTGATTTCATAAAAAAACCTGTTTTACCGAAAACAATAAATATTCATATAGAATATTTCGAAATGTTTGTTATATGATTTGTGTGTAATAATCAAATATTACCGGTTATATACAAAAATATACCTTCCCCTTGAAAAAAATTCAAATTCTAAAATTATTGTTGCAGTGAAACAAAAAAACAAAACAAGAATTATTTAACCAGTTTTATAAAAAAACAAGTGAAAAAGCGGTAAGTTCGGCCGGGCCGAACTTTGGATACCCTCCACCATAGTTATATTGACAGGTACTATAAATGAAAATATAGGGAACATACCAAAAAGTGGACCTATACCGACATTTCTAAAAACGGATTATGTAAACCATAATAAAAATGTTAGAAAATTTTAAAGGATAATTATACCCTCAGCCTTATGGCTAATGAGGGTGTATACACTTTAACACGATGAAAATGTGCCTCATTGAAATATTGGTTCTAGTCCATGGTCCATGTTCCTTTGGACCAAATCCGTTTCAGAAAATTTAGATTTCATCCGAACTTTGCCCATCTTATTATTTCTTCCAAGCTTATCCCAATCAGGGGCTAGGTCTAAATGCAGCTATAGTTCATTATCGAACCTTAGGTTATAATTTTTTATCTCGCTATCCTCCGCAGGTGAAATGATTACAACAGAGTCTTAGAACCAAACTCAAAACGCGGAACAAATCAGATAACTATTTTAATATAAAAAAGGGGTTATATGGGGACTACCCCAAAAAGGGGGCGAATATTAAAAATTTTTGGTAGAGAGATTTGTTACCATATACGACTACAAATTACCAAATTGCAGCAAATTCGGTTGAAAATGCGCTCAAGAACCCCAAAATTCCGAAAATTGGGGGGTACCCTTATATGGGGGATATCCGAAAAAATTCACATATATTTATAATTTTTTGTGGAGAGATTTGGTACATATTAAGAACTTGAAATACTAAATTATAGCCAATTCGGTGGAAAAATACGATCAAAACCCCCAAAATACTGAAAATTAGGAGGTACCGTTATATGGGGGCTACCAGAAAAAGTGGACCTATATTTATAATTTTTTGTGGGGACATTAAGTACCCAATAAGAACCCAATGTACCAAATTTCAGCGTATTCGGTTGAAAAACGCGCCCAAGAACCTCAAAATACCGAAAATTGGGGGGTACTGTTATATGGGAGCTATGTCTAAACGTGGACCGATATATCCCATCTTCGAACTTGACCTGCCTGCAGACAAAAGACAACCCTATGCAAAATTTCAGCATCCTATCTCAATTCCTTCGGAAGATAGCGTGATTACAACAGACGGACGGACAGACGGACGGACATGGCTAGATCGTCTTAGAATTTTACCCTGATCAAGAATATATATACTTTATAGGGTCGGAAATGAATATTTCGATGAGTTACAAACGGAATGACAAAATTAATATACCCTCCATACTATGGTGGAGGGTATAAAAATTCCCAATTTAACCCTCAAATAAATTATTATTTTTGGAATAAGGCTTCTACAACAAAATTTGGAACTGGAATCAAAATTTAAAATGAACGTTATGTTATAGGGTCCCGCTGGATAGGAAATTAACAAAGGAACTTCTTTTTCTTAAAATATATATATTTTTTTACATCTACAAATTTACTCCCCTAACCATAATAGGGTTAAACAAATATAATATTTAAATATTTTTTATAACTTATCATATTTTGAAGATAATGATTTCATTAAAAATTTAAATGAATTATTGATGAAATAACCTTTGTTATTTGTTTTCTGTTGATGTTTATAATTTTTTATCGATAACTTCTATGCTGATGTTGAGGGTAACACAATGAATTCAATAGGAAATCCATTTATCTTCATTGTATTGACATTAAAATTATGAAAACGACAATCGACAGACAACTTGTCAATTTGTTATATTCAAATATTAATAGCAAATTGACAGCATAGGGATAGAATAGCGATGAATAAACTCGAAAAAATATTCTCTAAAAATCGGAAAAATGTGTTCTTTAAAATTCCACGCTTATGGTTCTGAATGTCCTAGAAAAAATTCTTTAGGAATTATTTATATGCAATTTTTAAATCCAAGGGACGAACCTACGAATCCAACATTATGCGACGTGCTTTGCTTTAGATTGGGTGATGTGGCTATACCTGCCCTAGAAATATTCTTTCAAAATGACATT